CGCCGGGTTCGCCCGCCGCGGCTGATGCCGCTGCCGGCCGCGCGCGGGGCGGCTGAGGCGGGGTGGGCCAGAGCCGGAGCCGGAGCCGGGGGAGGCGGCGGGCGGCGGCGGCGGGCCATGTGTCGGCCAGGGGTGCGCGGGCTCCTGGGCCGGGCGTGCCTGCTGCTGCTGCCGCCCTGCGCCCTGGTGCTGGCGGCGGTGCCCGGCTCCGCGTCCCACCCGCAGCCCTGCCAGATCCTGCGGCGCATCGGGCACACCGTCAGGGTGGGGGCCACCCACCTGCAGCCCCGCGGCCCCTCCGCCGCTTGGAGAGGGGAGGCGGCGGGCGGCGGCCCCGAGGGGGAGGTTGCGGCGGGGGCTCGGGGCCGCCGGCCGGGGGGCGGTGGGGAGCGGCAGCCGGGCCCCGCTCCCTCGCCGCGGGACGCGCTGCTGCTGGCCGTGGCTAACCTCAACGGCGTGGCCGGGCTGCTGCCCTACAACCTGTCCCTGGAGGTGGTGATGGCGATCGAGGCGGGGCTGGGCGACCTGCCCCTATTCCCCTTCTCTTCCCCCAGCGCTTCGTGGAGCAACGACCCCGTCTCCTTCCTGCAGAGCCTCTGCCACACCGTGGTGGTGCAGGGGGTCTCCGCCATCCTCGCCTTCCCGCAGAGCCGCGGGGAGATGCTGGAGCTGGACTTCGTCTCGGCGGCGCTGCGCATCCCCGTGGTCAGCATCGTACTGGGAGAGTTCCCCCGGCGGAGCCCGGTAAGGAGGTTGGGGGTGGGGAGGAGGGGGTGCAGCGCTATGCCTGCATCCCGGGAGCCCTGCGGGGTCGGGGCGCGGGGAGCGGTCCGGCATGGGGAACGTGCGCCGGTTTCGGGGCTGCCGGAGCCGTCCTGCACCCTGTCCCCCTTCCGGCGTTCTTTCCCAGTGGTGGCAGCGCACGAGCATCCTGTTCCCGCACAGGAGACGGCGACTCGGCGGTGAGAGCGAAGTTGAGAGCGCGGCGTGGTTTGCCGTGCGGAGTTGCAGGGCTGAGATTAGATAGCGGCTCTTGCGGTGCAGCCCGTGCGGTGTAAGAGGCGATCCTCTGTAGAGGCTTAACTTGACTTTTGGAGAAGCTTCCCACACCAAAAGAGGGTCGTTAGCGAAAAGGAGGGGGAGACGGGGGAGAGAGTAATGTTTTTATTTATTACTTTATGTATTTATTAGTGGTCGAAATGCTTTGCAGATTTCGCGTGGGGTAGTATCTATGGACTGCTCACCCGGTGACAGTTTTCAGGGAAGTTCTTCGCTCTTGGCTTTTCACTGAGCATTTCTGTTACTTGTAGCTCATGCATCACTGCTAATTCGATTTGTGGAGTATTTTAATGCTTACTTAAAACAGTAGAATGGCTAACTCTGTCTGCGTTTCATTGTGTAGCTGAAGTCATAGTATCAGAAGTCAGTGCCTAACTGCCTGAGGTACAATCTAAGGCAGCATATCAGGAGTGCTGAATTTTCTGCCATGCAGAGGTGGCATCCTTGTGTTATAAGCTCTGGGAAAAGGTGATGGTGGTTCAGTATGTTGCAAATGCAGGCTCAGTGCCATAAGTCACGTCCGGGCAAAGGAGTGGGAAGAAAACACACCCTTCTGTGCGGCCCACACGAGGGAAATTGTGGTAAGATGGCAGAAGCTGCCATTTAAGTAGCCATGTGGAGCAGTTCCTTTATGTAGAAGGAGATAGCACAACTTTGCACTCAGAATTTAATTAGAAAAAAAAAAAAAAAAAAAAAGATTACCAACTGAATTTTCTTTGCAAAAGCAAATAGAAATCCCAGCCTGGATCAATATTTTCTGTATATTTTTTGGTATTAAGACTGTAACAGAAAGGGTAGAAAAAGAGCTAGTTTGTAATTGGAGGTGTGATCACTGTGTGCTGCTCTAAACTCTGCTGGTTTTCTCTTGCTTGGCAAGAAAGGTAGCGGGTTTCTCTACAGATTATGCATAAACTCAAGGGTGATCCATACTTCTGAATGCCACTTGTTCATATGTGCTTGATGCCAGTAGCACCCAAGTTAGCTGAGTGACACCAGCCTACCAGTTACATTCCCTGTTGTACCTGAGCCAACAACCAAAGTTCCCTGAAGAACAGAGCCTGAACCATCTCATTGCTCTGTTAAAATCAGAATTATTTTCTCTTCCATGCCAGATGGGACTAAGTTCATCTGGAGCTGCCTGAGGACACAGCATATGTTAAACGCATATCATGCAGGACAGCAGTCATTGTTCCTTTCACAGACTTCATGGTTCCTGCTTAACTTTCACGCTCTCCTCAGTGTGGAGCCAACTGTTTTCATTGGATAAATCTGTCCAAATCAAGACTTTGTTCCTAAGCAGACGTTTAAATGTCATTGTCGTCTATGACAGTGAAATCAATGCCTGACTTTAAATCGTATTTAAGTGCTGAGGAGATTCAGGTTTTTTTTTTCAGATCAGCTTAAAAAAAAATCACTCTTCAAGGTTTTGTGGATATTAAAAAAATCTAATCTGTATTTAAAGGCCAGTATATTTGGCCATATATTTAGTAATACAAATCTATTCATCTCCAAGATCGGCTTGGAGAGCCTGCACATCCTTCTGAATACTGCTTCATACTTATACTTAACAAACACCATTCAGAAGCTAACTCACCTCATGTGTTTCCCAGAGTTGCAAGATTGCCAGCACCATCTGAGACCTGGAAGAGGCCAGAGTTGACCTGGGCAGCTCTGATGGCTTATTGCCCCAGGCAGGAGTTTTGTCTGTCCCTCCATCTCATGCTAGCATCTCATGGCCTCCAGACCTAAAAGCCCCAACACTGCTAGCTGACTGCTTTGGCACAGGCAGCATTAGAGCAGAAAGTTGTGGGTGGCACAGTGGTTAGGTGAGATAGGCTTTGCCACTGAACAGGCTGAGCAGCCAGTGTTTTAGAGGAGGAAAGAAATGAAAGGTGTTGAGGGCTGCAATCTCAGTCTTCCCTCAAGAGGGTGGTTGGGCCCTGGAACCAGGCGCTGAGCTGCTGGAGTTCATGGATTGTTTGGACACCACTCAGACACTGGGGTTTGAATTTTGGGTGGTACGCTCTGGAGCCAGGAGTTGGACTCTGTGATCCTTGTGGTCACTTCCAGCTCTGGGTATTCTGTGACTGCGTTTCTGGTGTGGGAGCTGTCAGCCCTGAGAAGCCTCCCGTCCTGCTCTGCCTGGCAGAGCTCACTGTGCCTGTCGTCTCTTCACTCCTGCACAGCAGCATGGCCCAGGGCACGGCCTGCAGGCCTATGTCTTTCCATCCAGAATAGCAGTGAGCCCCCAGCGTGTTTGTCCTTGAAGTGCATTGCCTATCGCCTGTCCTGTTGGGAATGTTGCAGATGTGCGAACAAATACGACATATGCTAGGTGCTGTCCTAACAGACCATCTTCAGTATTAGTTGGAGCTTTTGTTAGAATTGTTTTAAGGGAACAGCAAGGTCTAGTTTTCCAAGTTATGCCATGATGGGAACGTATAAATATAACACCTGTGCTGAACATCAACAGCCTTATTCCTTCATATGGAAAATTATAATAAGCAGATATTCATTGTAATTGAAAAGTACTTGGATTTTTGAGTAAGTCTTCTGTAACGTGGCACAAAACAATACTTGAAATGAAGAGGAGGGCTAGGATCTGGAACTGAAATTTATTTTAATAGCACTGGCTGTTGTCTTCATCACATGGTGACATCAAGAGGAGGTACACGGTGTCAGAGCTGGGCATCAGAAGCCAGCTGGATGATTAGTGCTTTTGAATGCTGTGTCTAAGCATCTTTTTAATGTCTGTTCTTCGTTAAATTCTTCTCTTCTGAAGTTCAGAGAATGACAAAGCTAACAGCGCTCCTCCACAACAATTAACAATGACTTGGCAACAACCATCACAGAGATACAGCATTGAGGGTTGTGTGTGTCAGAACACACACACAGCTTCAAGGGATGCTCTGCAGAATAAAATGTGACATATTTTTCTTTCGTTTTGATTTGTATATGTGATTTAGTGACTAACATAGACTGACAGTAAATCCAGACACTGTTGTGACCTGAAAAAAGCTGTTTACTTTTCTGAGTTTACTGTCAGTCCTGTAAATTTTCACACTTTCAGTAAGCAAAAATAACAATTTATCACCATCATTCAGCAAGCAGAAAACCACTGGATTCCTTTACACGAATGCAGATCACATTGAAGCTTTGACAGATCATTATTTTGGAGACGGCAGCTCACGAGCACTGATGTCATTAAGGCAGGACTTACCTTGTTAATTTTTTCATAACATACTACTTTTTCTTTTCAGTTCTGCTAATGTCATTAGCTGTTTCTCCGGAGAGGAAATAGTGAACACTGCTAGGGAACATGAGCCACAAATAAATGCAGTGATAACAGAGCTAGGAGTTTGGGAAGGATAGCCTGTAATTTTATTTTACAGGTGATAGTATCAGGAACACAAGGGAGATAATGTTTGCAGCAGCTTTTGTCTGAACTTCAGAGCTAATGGACTATTTTCAGGGGGCTTCAGATAAATTGCTAACTGTAATGTCTTTTAACATTAGAAGGATTCTTTCCAGAGCAACAAAACAGAACAAAATAAATCTGAATCATCTTGGTTCCTTGGTTCCTGAAGTCCATACTTCATCTGGTTTCTGGAGTGACTGGAATTGCCAACACTTCTGATCACTGCTATGACTTCAGAAAGGGTAAAAAGAATACATAAATCTTGTGAAGAGTGTTAGTTTAAACAGTGAATTTCCTGACAAATTAGCAATCTCATGCTCAGAGCAGAGGCTCTAAAAGAAAATGACCATTAGTATTTAACTTTAAAGGGATTAAGTTCTCTTTTGAAAATAAAAGGACCATGGGGGCGTGGAAGAGCTGTGCAGCTGATAGCGCAGGCACTTTTCCTCCTTCAAGCTATAATTGCATCAGAGAGTTATTTCTGATCTGCAGGAAAAAAAAAAAAAAAAAAAAAAGAAGAAGAAAAGATATCTCATTGTCCAGGGGAGACTGCAAAACACATGCCTAGCTGCAGCTTCTCATACTTCATACTATCATCTCTAATCTGACTTGTTCCACGTGTTGGAGTTTGTACCACATGCTGAACAGATGAGCAGTAAGTATGCAGTCATCCCTGTGATCACCAGTCCTCACCTCGCTGCATAAATTGTGGCACACAGTGGCTGGGCACCTCAGGGGGGTTTGTGAGAGATGGAGTTGGATTCGTTGGTCTGTACAGGTCCCTTCCAGCTCCAGGCATTGTGATTCTATGAGGTTTCCTGGGGGAAAAAAAAAGGAAACAAAATCTGGAAATGGCATGAAAACAAACGTTCAGTTGGTGTCAGGTGAAGGTCTCAGTGCTGTCCTGTTCTTAAAACTTCATAGTTTGGACCGCAGATATGCTATTAAGTGAAAGTCTTTTTACACTGCCTCCTAATGAAGTACCTCCTGTGGTCAGCTCTCCTAGAGCCATTAACTCTATCAAACACAAATTTCAGAGGTGTAATTCACATTTTGCTAGCAGTGTTGTTGTCGTAGTGCCATGAGTGAGATTTCTTTGTTGCAGCAACCCTCTGTTAAACGACAGCAGTGCCATGTTTGCTGACTGATCCCATTTCAGACAAGGTGACCTCTGGTACCTTTTGGGTGCTGCCATCTCCTGCCTCTCACTTGCTCCTCCTACAGGTATCCTACACTGTCCTCAGATTGTTACTTTAAGAATGGTTGA